AGATAGATCAATATCACAGAAACTAAATGAGTATATTAGTCAAATCTCCAACAAACGTCACTCGCCTGTGTTTAGAGCAGAGGTTGGATACCTGCTGAAAAGCTTGCCAATCCTTTGTCAGAGGATAATATGGGAGAGGACTGCATAGGGTGTGGGCTCAGTGGATTATATCTTTTCACGCATTATTCTGCTTGAGTGACTTGCTGAAAAAAACGCGCACAGGCACCAACAAAGATTGGTCAGGCATGAATGCGGTCTGTGTGTTTTGTCTATATAACATATTAATCTATCAAACCATCAAGTGGGACGTTTTTGAAGAGCGCCGATTTTTCAAATAGAAATAAATAATTTATTTATTTATTTATCATGAAAGTAAACACACACATGCGCACTCGCACGGCTTTTTTCCCCCTTAAATATGGTTGCTGTTTTATTGTATGCGTTTTCTTTAAGGGAAAAACTCAATGAAAGTGGGTCAACAATAAATTCTAGGCGTTGATGTAATTGCAACAAAATGCTGCTGAGTAAAATATCGAGGAGCTCGCCGACTGCTGTGGCAGCACACAGTCACACCACACACACGCACACATACACACACACACACCATCTGGAGAGTATTAGAAAGAGAAAGCCGTAAATATTGCCTGAAAAGCCCAGGCGTTATCAGGTATGTAAGCCCAGGCCTTGCTGCATGCGCGGCCCTCCCATATGTTGACATAATCAGACTGTTGGGGATGTCTATTAAAACGTGTCTGAATTTAATAAATGAACACAGTGATTAAATTCAATTTGTTTGCTGCTGCTCACCGGATGACTCCCGGTGTGCTTACATGTTTCTTTTTTTCTTTTGGAAACGGTGGATTGTGATGTGGATGCGACGCTGCGCAACTCGCTGTATGTTAAAGTTTGCAGAGGAAGCAACAGGTTCTGGCATAAGCGCCTGCTCCTGCATCTGCAACCATCATCGGTCTCCTGCATTTGTCTCGCTTCTGCATACTGGCTGAGGCAGACTCTTGTTGACGGAAGAAATTAAAAGTTCCAGTTGAGCTGCTCGCTTACACATCCTCACTTTTTCCTCTCTTAAGCCTAAGCATTTTTTATTTATTTTTTACTGCTTTCCTGTTTGGTATACAGTGTGGTTTTGCCTCACCAGCATCCACGCAAACAACCGTTGGTTGGCTGGCAGCAGCAGAAGAAAGTTGCTGCACACTCGAGTTTACAATCATACATAAACGTGCGTACACCCGAACATACAGCCACATACCCTTTGCGCTCACACTTCCCTCTGTTTTTCTCACCCACTCCCCCCTGGAACACACGCACACACCAACAGGACAGACACACACACACGCACGCACGCACGCATGCACTCAGACGCACACACAGAAAAAGAGAGAGAGAGAGAGAGAGACAGGGTGTCAGGATGAGTCTTACTTTTCCCCCCTTTTCCTGCCATGAATCTTCATCCGTCCGTCGCTGACAGAACTTGACTTGATCCGGCCGCGTCTTCCTCCTCAGCGCTTAGAAATAAAGTCCGCAGTAACGTGATTTGCGCCTTAATTATTACTATATGCATACACTTGTGTACGTGTCTGGGTGGCGTCCCGAACCCAGAAGGCTTTGGTAGAGGAGGGAGAAGAGTGCAGATTGAGACATATTGAGCTCGCTTTTAAAAGGATCATTCCATCATGTGGGAGGTTGGGACACACAAAGTTTGGACCCGTGACTGGCATTCCGGAGAGACACATGCATATTTTAAAACAACAAAGCAAGACAGACGCCAAGGGGGGCCCGAGTGGGGAAGAAGGGGGCGAAAAAGGAAGAAGAAGAAGAAAAAAAAAACTTGGAAAGAAGTTACTATCAGCTGAACAGCTGTCATTATTGGGCGAAACTGCAGCGCATATAAAGATATAATCGTTTGAACAGGAGCGAAGAGACGGAAGCTAGTCTGCAGCCATTCGTTGAAGATTCTCTATAACACGTGTTAACTTCGTGCACAGTTTTTTTAATGTAATTGTTAAAGAAGATTAAAAATAAAAAAAAAAGTTTTCGAGTTGTAAATATTTTAAATGTACTTTTTTTGTTTTAGCTTTCTATGTATTTACTGCATATTTATTGCATTTCGAGTGAATCGTAGATAAATAGTTCCACTTGGTTAAATAAAATAAAATAAAATGAATAAAATAAATAAAGTCCTCCATTGTTTAAATAAAATATTAGTTACTAGACTTTATTTTTCAGCCTCAAATATCCAAGTCTCGGGTCGCAATTTAAAACATCTCCCACTTCTATTTTGTCACGTCACACACAATTGTATCTCTCAAGCAAAGCCGGCGCGCTTAGCGCTGTCACTTCTGCACAGCTTTTACAACATCACCCCCCCACCCCCCTCCCCTCCAGGCCCCCCTCCCCTACTTTCTCTGCCTTACTTTACTACAGGCTTTTTCTCCCCTCCTTTTCTCTCTCTCTTGTGCAAGGGTCCATTCGTGCAAAAAGGAGTGAAGAGGGCATAAATAAAAATGCGCTGGCTGTGACGAGAGATCTGTCCGCTGGAAATGAAGGGCCGGGTGGGGAGAGACAAAGGGGGGTGGGGGGCGGGGGGGGTTATGCAGTGGTGTAGAGCTGGATATCTCTGTTAGTTGTCAGCGTTTAGTCCATGGCTGTGGAATGCTAATGAGTGGGGTCTCTCGCTCGCTCTCTCTCTCTCTCTCTCTCTCTCTGCCCCCTCTTCTCTCCTCCTCCTCCACCCCGCCTTCTCGCTCGCTCCGGGAGAAAAAGCGGATCGATAGCTGACCCGATGGTTTTGGCCAATGCTTTATTTATCTGGCCAGGCAATGATATTATCAGCCTTGAACGTTATATACAGCAAACGTCTTCCTAAATCAACACAAAGAGATCCGCTTACACAGCGATCCGGGCTTTCTCACAATCATCTCTCTCTCTCTCTCTGTCTGTCTCTCTCTGTCTCTCTCTCTCTCTCTCTCTGTCTCTCTCTCTCTGTGTCTCTCTCTCTCTCCCCTCCACCCTCCGCTCTCCCTCAGCACATACGCTTACGTACGGTTTGTGGATACGCACGGGCGCACGCAAACATACATTATATGCGCCTTTCACGCTGTTCCAACAGTCGGGCGTGTGCGCGTATAAGCGGGGAGGCGTCCCCTTGTGTTACATTCGCAGCTCCAGAAGGGCTGGATTTGATCCATGGCTTAAAGGTTGCCTGTGTGGTCTGCGGACTGATCTATGCCACCGACTGAATGTAGAGCCCGTGCAACAAGAAGCTGGGTCTGGATGCTGAGATGTGGCACACATCTCTGCACAGACTACGTCTATGTAAATTTGGCCATCAGTTCCATAGCCATCTTGCAGAGCCTGGGTGGATGAATGAGCTATATGGCGAGAGCACTTGTTGTCATTTTTTTTTCTTTTTCTTTTTTTTCTTCTTTTATTACGCACGAGACAATATGAGGAATAAGCCGCGTCACACTTCAGAGGGGGGCTCCCATTCGTTTATATAAGCGGGAGCCTCGGCTATTTGGAAAGTGTTATTGTCTCAAACAGCCGTATTTGTCAAATGTGACCGAGCTGCTGCCGCTGCTGCTGTTTCTTCTAAGTGAAAAGTAGTGACGTGTGACGCCAAATAGGACGTTTTTCGCTCTTCCTCTCCCTGCTGCTGCAGAACGCTGCGACGCCGGCTCGCGTCGAGGGCTTCAGGAGAAATAGGGCTCACTGACAACTTGGGATAATAAATGCTTCGCTTTCAGACAGATATCTCAAACGTGAAATCGCACCCAGCTGCTTGTGTAAAAGCAAACAAATAGCCCCCACCCGTGTTGGGAGTCCTCCACTTGTGGTTTGATGAATGAAACCAGACAAAGGTAAATGGTTGTTTAACTCATTTCGCGGTAATACTTTGGTGACCGGCGTTTCCTCATATCCATCTCCCTTTACCCACCGCAGTTAACTTGACGGTGCAGTTATTTCTCGTTCCTGTCATATTAAGGGACACGTCGTTTAATTGATAGCAACTAATGTTGCATGTAAAGACAGTAAAAAAAAATAAAAAAAAAACAAAGCAAACGACAAAAGGTTATTATTTTAGCGTTTGAAATGTTACACAATTCAAGAAATGAAGCCTCTATCACAATATCCAAAGTACCTCAACTGGAATAAGCGCTTTATTCCCGGAGTCCTCATGTGTTTCTCTCAGATTGCCTATACTGAAACGTTAATTAGGAACACATGCCACCATTTTCATGTGTTTTTTTGAACCGCCGCTTTATATAGCCTGCAGTGTAACAATTGTAGAACAGAATGCTCTCAGCGAGAGGATAAAAGATAGTTACTCTGGAGGGGATTCTGAATACATTATGTGGAGACAAGCAGCTGAAAGCTACGTTTAATAAGCTGCAAACCCACTATTTGAGTCCGGACCTACATAAAAAAAAAAAAAAATAAAAAAAACAAAAAAGAAAAACAACATCTGACAAAAAGAAAGGAGCTTAATGGCCAACGTAAAACATAATTATTCAGACCTCCAGAATGTCACCTATTAAAATCCTCTGAGTTCTTCACACAAAAATACTGGAAATAAGTTAAAGTTAAGTAATAATAATAATAATAATAATAATAATAATAATAATAATAATAATAATAATAATAATAATAATAATAATAAAGCACCAGTTAAAATCAATTTTAGCTGAAATGCCGCTGAACAGTTTTGTTATCCTTTACTGTCTTTTTTTGCTTCGATTAAGCTTCGATGATTCAGTCTGCAGGATAATGAGAAATACTCCATCAGCTTCTTCGTCACTAACTTTCATCTGACCTTAAGGTCGTGGAGAGGATGATCGCCTCCACATGAAGGGAAAAACTCCACAAAACTGTAAAATAAATGTAAAAAAAACGTCACTTTTTTGCTTTTACAGTTACTTTAGGCGGATGCAACCCACATTAAGGCTTACTTTGTCAGGTGGTCTCACAAATAATGAGAGAGAGCATCAGAGGACAACCTGGAGCCACGTCCTTCCTTTATTACAGGCAGTAATACCTTAAAAGTTTCTTGATGACATAAGCAGTGCAAAAATAACCTATAAACGAGAGTTACACTCACAACACACGGCTGATAATTAAACAGGCTAACAAATATCACATCCCTGCTCTGCTGTCCCTGATCACTGCAAAAACCACAAGAGAAAGATCTGGGTTAAAAAAAAAAAAAATGACACAAAGGCAGCTCATTTCATGACGACTTCAGAAATGTCAAGCCTATGCGCCGTATTTCATTCCATCATTTTTGTTTTATCATGTTTTATCACGCCTGGTACTGTGATTTAAATGCAAGGACCGGTGATAAACCAGATTTCCCTTTTGCCATTTAGGGCGTAAACTGAGACAAAAACAAGAAATAGACCAAAGCGAGGGCAGTGACAGTGAGTAACCCATCTCACACACTATCGATGGACTCATTACACTCTGACTGTATCAAGCAAACCAAGGCCACATCTTTTTTTTAAATATTTTTTTTTATGTCCTGTCACACACACTCACACATACACACAGTCATACACTTGACTTTCTACTAACACGCTTCTTCTCTCGTTTGTCTCAGCACTCTCTCTCTCGCTCTCTCTCTCTTTCTCTCTCTCTCTCTGTCTCTCTCTCTCTGTCTGTCTCTCTCTCTCTGTCTCTGTCTGTGTCTGTGTCGTTCTCTCCCTCTTTGCCTCCCTCTCTATTCCCACACAATGCATCACACTCGGTGTTCCTATCGACTGGCTTACATGCTGTAAAATACATTTTCCAGATTGATCACGCATATCACAGCAGCTTTGCAGCGAGGGCCCCCCCAAACCTTTTTTTTTTTTTTGCCAAATGACGCCCACGTCAATACAGAGCATGCAATGCGTTATCAGGGCAGAGTTTTTTTTTTTTTTTTTATTTTAGGCGAGAGGGGAGAGTTGGTTTGCAGAGAATCACCTTGATTAAGCCACAGGGGGAAGGTTACAGAGGTGGCTCTGTGTTAGAGGCTTCCCTCGCTGTCTGGGAAAAATATTAAACATTAATGCGCTCGCAGGCCAGTATTGTCTCCTTCCTCTTTGTACTCGCACCGTCAGTTATGTCATGGCTCTTTCCAAATGTAATATGTGCTTCTATTGTGTAATTATTATCCCCCCTTTGATCCCGTGCAACTATTTGTTTTCACAGGTAGGTTTCAGGAACTGTTGTACAGTCGTGAAAAAAAACAAAAAACAGATTCCCTCTGATTGGCTAAATAATAATAATAATAATAATAATAATAATAATAATAATAATAATAATAATAATAATAATAATAATAATAATAATAATAATAATAATAAACATTTGATCCCCAGGAAAATGCTTGAGAGTGAGACATCGTTGCCTATTTCTTTTTTAATAGTACAGTCACCATCACACAACTTCATCAGCCGACCCTTCTGTCCAAAAGAAAATATATAATAAAAAAAATAATAAAAAAAATGAAAAGCTGCATCATGGAGTAAGCAAAATTGAAGGCAACAACCAATAAAATTCAAGAAACAACAAAAAAAAAAATCTTCAAGACGAAACAAACAAAATGTATTTGAAATGATATATTAAAAGTGCTTTTTGATTTCATGTCTCTCCGTTTGTTCTTTTGACTGATGATCGACTCCACACACGCTCGTGGTCCGGGGAAAAGGGAATGAAGGGGACAAGGGCGGAGGGGGAAGCGGGGGAGATGCGCCCCAGACGGAGTAAAAATGTCAGTAAAAACGTCCTGGAGGTCAGTTTCGTTTCGCTGCTTCTGCTGCAGGTCCATCGTATCAGTTGGGAGCATGGGAGAAGGGTGAGGTCAAAAAATAAAATAAAAAATAAAAAAAAAGTTCAACCATCAGTGTTGATATTGTCACAGCGATTAGACTGTTTCTTATTCGTCTAAATTCATTTTATTTGTCTTGTTTTTTTTGTTTTTTTTCATTATTTTAAATTCTCACTTCAATTTTTAATTCTTGGAGAACATAGCTTCGACAACATATATCGCACTCATTATAAGAAGCAAAAGGTTATATCAAAAAATTATTAGTATAGAATCACAGAAACCCTGGTTTAGAACCAGAAAAATTACAAAACAGAGAGGTACATAGACACAGGACAATTCTTATAATTGCTTGGAAACATTATTTTCCCGCTAAGTCTTGATTCATTTTTTTTTCTTACTGCGCATATGATGTTTTTCATTTTATTTGTGTTTTTTTTTTACAAAAAAAAGAAAAGAAAAAAGAAAATAAAGACTAGTATTTTACAAAATGGAGAGTATTGTTCTTGAAGATGACGGTGCGGATTTACACAGGCGCAAAGTCCAGTTCCAATATTTTTCTGTACATAATGTATTCCATCGAAGTCCCAGAAGACAGAAAAAAAGTAATGTCTTCCGCAAAGTTTCTCAGAAAAAAAAGGTCCTATATATAGTCTTCTTGAAGGAGGATGAGGGGTGCAGAAATTTGGTCCTTTTTTTTTTTGTTTGTCCCCCTTCCTCCTCCTCTCTGTTTTGTTTTGTCATATAAGGATCATTGGATGGACATGTAAGGCCAGTTGAAGCTGCTCCCGGATAATAGCATATCCCTGATGAGGGTTTCAATAGGAGTTTTACCTACCAAGCGGACGAAGAACAGCTGCTCGATTACCGAGGAGGAGACGGTGCGTAGAGAGGGCAGCCGCAGCAGGAGCTTGCCAAAGCGGCTGGGTTGGTTGGGGTACTGGCTCCTGACGTACTCCTCCAGGGCGCACTGCGACTTCTCTTGTAGGCTCTCGATGTGAGCGGCGTCTGACAGGCCGCAAGCGTCTGAGGAAACATAAAAAACACACACACTGTGGTTAGTATCGTCACAGCAGACTAAAACCATAAGGCGGAATATGTGAAGAAAAGATCCAAGAACCAGGACTGAAAGTGAAAAAAAATATGCTCGTTATGTGAGAATCTAAAGCAAATGCATTTGAGTTCAGCAAAGGCCTTGTGTTTTTGTTATCACAATTATTTATTAAATAATACACAAAAATTAGATAACAACACTGTCCAGGTGGATATTTCCGTGATGACTACCGTTTTTGTTTTCCCCTGACGCGCCCGGTTTCAGTCGTGTCAAAGCGCTTTGGTTATCATTACGTGTTATTGACAATGTGGCATGGACAAACAAGGCTGCCCAAACATGCTTCATCACACTGTCTGTCATGCAGCATAAGCAAAGGGGAGAACGCTGCTGGAATGTACTGGATGCGCAATCAGCGAGGAATTAGAGGTGAAAATGTCAGACCAAAAGTGATAATGCAAAAAAAAAAAAAAAAAAAAAAAAAGCAGAAGAAGAAAAAGAGGAAGAAGGAGGTAGGCTACACGCAGGCCCAAAGGCCGCTGCTCTTTATGTCTGAACTCAGGGGATTTAAGTGTAAGGGCAACATAAACGGTACTGATGAATCTGAAATTACACTGGATGTAATGTGACCTAATTACTCCGCAGTAAGCTGTTAAGTGATTTCGCCGGCTCTTCTCTCTAAAGACCACTCTTGGCCTGTTTTTTTTCCTCCTTCTCTTCCCCCGTTGTAGCCTATAGGACAGGCCCGCTGAAAGCAATCAGATTTATTAGACGAGGTTGAAGGGAAACAGTGGGGCTCAGAAGCGACGTGAAAATGTCCAAAAGCGCATGGCGAGACGCGCTTGGTGGCTTCGGCAGCCACTCTTCTCTTCGGGACAGACAAAAGAGGGATGCAAGCCTTGTTGGTGTGTTGCACGTTTTCCCTCTGCTGTAAAGAAAGGAAAAAAAGAAAAAAAAAGATGTGTTTTTTCACTCAAGCCAAGCTTATAAAGTGGTGTAACCGCTGGCATACATGGTCCCACAAGAAGACTTCTCAGAAGCTGTTTTTGTATTGAGCGCTGCTTTTGTAGAAACTGCACATGAAAGGCAGCTCCAGCTTCCAGGCTCCCAACACTATAAGCGGCTAAACAGAGGCTTTTTAGGGCCATTCTTAATTTCTCACTATAACTCACTATGGCCTAGACACAATAACCTCATGAACCCGAGGGCAGCACAGAGATCGTGCAGTGATTTACTGTGACCTCAATCCGGCCACTCAGAGCCCCGGTGTATGCAAATTGTTCTGAGTGTCTGTTCAAAACCGGCACCGATCGATGCCGTTTAATGAATTACATTTGACGCAAAACATGCAAGGGTTTCATGCGAATTTTCAAAGTAAGACGGGCGAGAAAGTTCATAGCACCGCAGCTGAACGCATGCGTTGGGGAGAAGGCTGGTTAAAGACACCCCACAGCTCTCCACGAGGCCTCCCTGTCAATACACCCCACAAGCCTCGATGGGCTGGGAAAGATAGCCTCCTGATCCAAACGACCAGTTCTGCAGAACTCTGCACCACGGTGCACACACAATTTGCTGCACGAGGAGTTGACGCGGAACAATAATCCAGATTTGTGTGTGTGCGTGGGGGTGCGGGGGTGCGTGCGTGTGTGTGTATGTGTGTGGAGGCCCGGGGGGATGGGGGGTAGTTTACCCTGACCACCCCTTATTTATGCATCAAATGCTGACAAGGCTGCTGTGTTATTAAAGGCAAACAAATCCACACTGAAACTGGCAAAGCGCCACGTGACTTTCTATAGCGTACACCAGTTTTGTAGCCCATCACACTAACTAAATGATCTGTTAGAAAACATGGGGGACGGCGATGTCTTAGTGTGTGTGTGTGTGTGTGTGTGTGTGTGTGTGTGTGTGTGTGTGTGTGTGTGTGTGTGTGTGTGTGTGTGTGTGTGTAGGTGTGTGTGCGTGCGTGCCTATGTGTGTTTGCGTATGTGTGCGTGGGTGTGTGTGTGCAGCTTCTCTGGGGTAATCTGAGCTGGATTTCTGTATGTTTTTTTTTCTTCTTCTGCAAATGGTTATAATTGCAAGATGGTCAAGCTAAATATAAACAAAGCACAAAAATGTCCCTGAAAAAAACAAAAAACAAAAACAAAAAAACTGCAGAATCACAGCAAGACTCACACTTAAATTATAATTACAAATCCTGTGCGTCAGAACTGACTTCAAACTGGACATGTTGGATATTAATTAGCTCACACTGTCGAGAACCAATAATAAATAAATAAAATATTGAAAAATGACCGTGACAAAAGACGTGTGTAAAATACAAAACCTGAGTGCTACAAGTCGTTTGGAGAATAATGACATTTCTAAATTTCAATGTGGAAGCTTAGTTGGCAGAAAAAAAAAATAAAATAAAACAATAAAATTGTGATCATTTAGCTCCAAATTAAACACAGCTAATTATGAACAAGTTGTGCTATTTTTAAAACTGTGTATAATATATATAATATAATATAATATAATATAATATATAATATAATATAATATAATATAATATAATATAATATAATATAATATAATATAAAGTAGGCTAAATGTGTTTGTTTATTCTTAAGAAAATTGATTTTCACTTAAAACTATTTAAATTCGCTGAAAGAGCGAATATTCTATAAGAATGGTGGGAAAGATAATTATTTTACGATTAACCCACATTTTAAAAAGTAAAACAATGTATTCATCACGACAGTGTCCAGAGAAAGTTGGTGTAATTCTCGCTTCAGTTTCCTTGCAAAGGGGATGAAAGTTAGGTCAAAACTTTAAGCAAACTTTAGAAGTAGCTCAGACGCTCATCTTCATCAGCAGATATAACAGGCCCTCAAAAGCACCAGGCACACACAACTTTTTTTCCAAAATAGCCTCCAAATTATGCAGCTGAGAGTAAATAGGGACATTTAGGGACCCCATAACCCAACCAGGCATCAATTAAGCTATCAACAATGTAGGTTACTTTTGAAAAGTGCCGCTGATTACTTTTCAAAGCTGCGCGACGCAGAAACTATCCTCAGTAAGTAAGAAAATTAATGGGTCAGCTAAGATTAATCTACTAATAACTTGCGTTATTAAGTGCATGTGCGAGTCAACTTCCATCAGACTTCTTCTTCGTTTTTTTTTTTTTTTTTTTTGATCTCAGTCTGTTAGGGATTATTTCCTGCCCCCGAAGACATGTGTTTGCGCACGAAAAAAACACGGATAAAAAGCGCGCAGCCACGCTCATAAACGCATCAGCTGTCATAAATCACCCACTGACAGAGACTATTTCATCTTTACGCTCAATTATTTGACACCTGTTCCAAAATGCGTGTGTGAACCCGGGCAGGCTCGGCTGAGGTTCAGACATGTTCGGGGTGGGGGGGGGGACAGGATTGTTTAGACCCCACCAAATATTATAGATTCAATTTCTTGCGATTGCACCTAATCTCAGATTTAAATGGGCTTTCAACTTAAAAACTTGATACATTTACTCAATCTGGGTTTGTTTACACGTCTTATGCTGCGGCTACAGCTGACATGGGAATGCATGTCAGTGGATATCAAGCAAGCTGTTGACAAAATGGCTCTTTCATCGGCCACACAAACATCTCTAGCACTAAGCTGCTGCCTGACAGCCATATTCCTGACGCAGCCGAGCTTCTGCGTGTGTGTGTGAGCACCAGAACCAGGCCTCGGTTCTTTATAAACACATCCATCTGCGTTTTAGTGTGTGCGTGTGCGTCTGTGGGGCGATGATGTGGACAACCCACCTGATGTGAAAAGCACGATGGCTTTGAGGCAGCTGTACTCCGCCGAGTCGACGTGCAGGGTCTTGAGCTTCTCCACTTGCTCCTGGAAGATCCGGATGTGGTCCATGAAAGCCACGACGCGGTCCGCGGACATCGGCGAGGCGTGCAGGCCTGCCGCGGCGAGCAGAGGGGCCACATGAAGAGGCATGGAGCACTGAGCCGCGTTAAGCACAAACAACTCGCTCCACGTCAGCCGGAGAAGGGACACCTGGTCGGTGATCTGCAGGTCAGGGAAGAAGGGGATGTTCCTCGCCCACTCCACGGCGCTGAAAAGTAAGCGAGCCGCCAGCTCGCAGATGTTCTCGATGCCCATGATGTTGTTGGGCTGCATGCACTGGCTCCCGTAACGGGAGGTAGGGTAAGGCTCAGCCCGCAGCAGTAACGAGATGTAGGGTAAGGCTCAGCCCCAGACAGTTAGCAGTGGCCGTTCAGGGGTCCCCGTTCGTCAGCGCGTACTGGCCTGGATTGGGTTGGGTTGGAGGCATTCTTCCTCGCTGAACCGCTGACAAAAAGAAAGAGAAAAAGAGGAAATGTGCATCCAGGACTGATAAACATTGTCCACTAGTGGTGCTTCTTTTCATCAAAAAATAGCATGCAATTAAAAAAGAAAAGCAAAACAGTACTCGTTTAAAACAATAATCAGATTTTAAAGCAATAAATAAATAAATAAATAAAATCCCATCAGTAACACAGATATTTCATGGAAACAGATGTGTTGTATCACTCGATCTTCACCCTGAATTTGTAATTTAAGGATACAGGCTTTACAGCTGGCTCCTGCGCAAATACATTTACTCACACACACAAAATGTTCATGTTTTCACTTAGAACAACTAGGCTATTATGAATATTTTAAGGCTTAATCGTCTACGTTCTGTTTATTTTTAATTCATGAATTTAGGTTATTGAACAATTGCTAATTGTAGGCAGTCAGGTCCTAAATGTGCTGGACAATTGTTATTAAATTCACCCATAATTCCACGTTTTGTCTGAGTCAAGAGGTCAGCTGGGAATAAGGAGGGGAATTTAGCTAGTGCGTAATATTTCAAATAAATTATTAATACACAGGGAATCATGGCGTGCACGTCGAATAACATGCAACTTAAACGTGGGAGGGTGTCCTCGTCAATTTGGGAAAAGCCAAACACTTGTGACAGAAAGGAAAGTTGCATGGCCTTTAATGCAAAGCAAGCAAAAACAATGAGGCATGAAAAACTTGAACGACGTGATTGAGTGTGTCTGAGCTGTCTAGTCAGCACAGAGAAGTGGCTTTGTTGTGTACTCAGTTTTTTTTTACAGTCATACACACACATTCCACTTATAAATCCTGTTGTGCAATTATAAATTAGTAAGATTAGTTAAGGGACTGTAAGGAATGGGACTATTAGCCTCAAACACTCTCAAAACACACAGACACACACACACGCACACACACACACACACACACTCAGAGACTGACATAAATGCTCGCAATTGTACACACACACTCACTCTTCTACGGTTTGCTTCTATGTAATATAGATTTGCAAGTAGACGATGCAGTTAGACCGCAAGAAAAACCAAAACAAATAAAAAAAGGAGGTTAACAAGAGCAGCCGCTTTGTTAAGGCGACTTGCATTCACAAGCACGTAACTGCCGTGGCTGCACTGGCCTTTTACTCTCCTCACGCAAAAGACGAAACCACAAACCATTCATGCAAACATCCCGGGAAAAAATAAAAAAATAAATAAAAATCAAAACAACGATGGAGTCTGCTGTAATAGGTATATGCCCAGCTATAAAGCCTGTGACCTTAATGCAACATGGCAGCCCTCGCACTGCTGCTGCTATACTAGGATGCGTAATCATGAGTGGGGCTTTAAAACATATATTCACCTTCCCGCCGCATCCCCACTTTTAAGCACTTCTTCAGCCGGCAGTATTGGCACTGGTTTCGATGGTGCTGGTCAATGGGACAGTTCCTATTGGCACGACATGAGTACGTTAAGTTCCTGCGTACACTCCTCTTGAAGAAACTTTTGCATCCCTCGCAGGTGAACTGGCCGTAGTGTTTGCCGCTCGATTTGTCCCCGCAAACCACACATTCAATATGCTGCTGGCTCTGTCCGGAATTCTGACTCCCCTTGTCCCCGGCGGTCCCCGGCGTGGACGGGGGTCCCGGTTGACTGGGGGTCTGCGGAGTGTGCGGCGCCGCCGACGCCGCCTGCTGCTGCTCCCTCGCCGGCTGCGCTGCTGGGTTGGGGCCGCTCGGAGGTCCTCCGGCCACGTCTTCCTGCGGATCTCGCCAGACGCTAACTACCATTGCCATATCTCGGCCCGGAAAGTGCTGTAAAGCGAAATGATCGCCGATGTTTATGGAGCGTAGTGGAGGAAGAAAAAAAAATCTCAAAGACGGGACAGTGCAAAGTCAAATCGGAGCACGCAATCTCATATGGGGGGAAAGAAGGGGAGCAAACGCGATCAATACATTCAGAAATCAGGAGGCACCCGATCAGGATATGCAAGTATCGGGAGGCCAGTTCCAAGGTAAATTGCAGTCAGCCATTCAGGAATCCCTAATCTTGTTGGAAAACCCAAGTCCAGACGTAAAAATTGCAGTCAGATTAAAAAGAAATAGCCACAAAAGAAAGGCAGGAGCGAGTAAAAAAAAAAAAAAAAAAAAAAAAAAAAAAAAAAAAAAAAAAGCCAAAACCTTTTCGCTGGAAAGACGCGATCCAAAGTGCTGCGGAGATAAATTCCTTTCTCCTTTCTTCCTCTTGCTCCTTTACACTCCCGTCTTCGTCGTATATGAGGAGGAGGAGGAGGAGGAAAAAAACTGAAGAGCTGGGCTTTTTACATCTATATTCTTAAATAAACCTCATCATCTCGCCCAGCTGCGAAGGAGAACCGCGTCGCCGAATGAAGTACCCATGTATAGTTTCACCTCTCTCCAGCGAGGAGGAACGGAGATACGAAGAGAAAAAAAGATTGAGGGAAAAAAAAAGAAAAAGAGGAAAAACACCAAGTAGTACTAATAGGATATGCAAGAAGAAGAAGAAGAAGGAGAGACCCCCAAAAAATGAATGCGCTTAAAACGAGAGGACCAGCAGAGAGCAATGTTTCCGAAACGGGGGATCTGCGCGAATGTCTGTATATAGTGAACTTTGACACTACTATTGAAACTGACACGTTTCTATGGAGATCGCTGCGCCTTATATGGTGCTCATGTCAAGGAGCCAAGAGAGGGGCTGCTGGAGACTGATAATCAAAGAGGACTGACTGGCCAGAGCCCTGCATAGAGGAGGAGGAGAGGAGGGGGGGATAGAGGGAGAGAGAAAATGGGAGGCTAAGGTTATAGCCAAGCCCTCTCTTTCTCTCCATTGGTTAGAGTCCCCCCTCCGTTAGTGCGCTACAAAAAATGTCCATCCAGACAAGTCCCCCGCTCTTGCTATTGGATCGCAAAAATTGTTGTATTTTCTGTCCATTTATCGGGGAAATAACACCCTCGTTTTGCAGTAGTCCGCCTGTTTTCCGCTCTCGCTGCGAGCGGTTAAAATAATGTTGCCGGGGAAAACGTCTCAAATCAGAGACATTCCCGTAGAAATTGGCAAGAGTCGGAGATTCGCAACGGCGGATCGAACAGCAGTCGAAGACGCGCGATCCAACCCGAACGAACCCGGTCCGTCTGTGTGCGCAGCCAGGATTTTCCGGCGCCGGTGCTGAACCGGCTGCCTTGTCTGAGGGTGGATGTTTTTCTTTTCTTTTTCTTCTTTTTTCCTTTTTTTACAGTGTAGGCTTCTACGACTGGAGGGGGCTTGGGAGGAGAGTGGGAGGGATGGGGGGCTCTGACAGGCACAATTTACATTGAGCTCGCCCCGCGCTGCTATTTACTTTGAAACCTGATTAGTATGGGCCGTCTATTGTCACCAAAAAGAGGAAGAAACCCTGGATAGAATAGCGAAAAAAAGCGGGTTAAAGGCAAGAGAGAGAGAGAGGGAGAGACAGAGAGAGAGAGAGAGAGAGAGAGAGAGAGAGAGAGAGAGAGAGAGAGAGGAGGTGGGGGACAAAGCTTTTAAGCACGACAAATAAAACCAAAAGCTGTGCGCTGCGACCAAAAGGGGGGATTCTGACTCAGATTTCCCCCCCCTTAAAGTTCCAGAATGCCTTGTCTCGGACTGTTATCTTTATTATTAAACTAACAGAGGTCTCTCTGCTGTTGGGAGCGGATTAATATTTTCACACGCCGTGTTTTGTCCTTGGCATGCGCATTGCGGTACAGCATCGTCTGTAAATCGTCACCGGTTTCGCTCATTAAAACTTAAAATTTAGTTCAAGAGCAGTTTAGGGGTGAAAAAAAAATATCACTGTGCAGAATGATGCGCAAACGCCGCCGTTGTGCCGGAAGCCCCTTTCAGATGCGGGGAATCTCTTGAAATTTCGGAGCGACGTTTAACAATCGCCAACATCTCACAGTCGCACAAACACTTTCAGTAGGACTAGGTTTTTTTTTTTTTTTTTTTTTTTTTAAATGTTTTAATAATGACATTAACTCAAAATCGAGCGAAGTTACGGGGAAATTTTGCACGGAGATCCCAGCTTTTATGCATCAGTGTTTCTGCAGGCGTCTCAGACTCAAAAATGTCTGGATCGCGCTGCCATCTAGCGTACGTTGTGCAATTACATCCCCCACAACACCCCAACGTGCAAGCCATCAAACTTGCATTTTTAAGCGCTTAAATAGATTTTAAATAATAATTAAAAAGCTCGAACGTGCCCAGAATTGTCCTGTACACTTTTGTAGTTCATAAAAAGTCCATTTTGCAGTTAAAGATATGGGATGACATTAATAAACTATTTTTAAAAAACCCATAAACATTCATTGATTAGTGTATCATCATCATCATTCATAATTAATGTTTAAACAGTGCTTCCTAATTAAAAGGACGCTCTGTTTATATAAAACAAAGACACAAAATGCCAATTGTATTCATAAGCTTAGGAAATAATAACCCAACACTCAAAGACATAAAAGTACTTAACACAACAAAGCGCGCACAAGCACGTCTATACTCAAACAGAGATATAAGAAGATATAACATAGCGTTAATATGCGAGTGCCTCTGTTTGAATGCGCATTCAGGAGGGACGGCTTGTTTTTTAAGTATTCAATAAGAGAGCTCTCTCTCCCCGTCCCTGTCTCGGACGCACACCATGGAAACTCTCCGGCCACGTCTCCAGTACTCTGAAAAGGTGAAACCAATAAGATTAAATCGGACAATGCATTTTTTTTCTTTTTTCTTTTTTTTTGCCCCTTTTCTTCCCCCTTTGGTGTATCATTAAGATTTAACTCCCCACATTTTGGTAAAAAGAATGGGGGTCTGCATGAGAGAAGAAGAGGAGAGAGAAGAGAGGAAAAGAGTGAGAGGGGGAAGCGAATAGGAAGCGGGGTAGATATATTAGAGAGGCTCTGATGGAAACCTGCATGTGGAGAAAGTGGACGGGTGGGATGTTGGAAGAGGGAGAAGAAGCACCGGTGCAGGAGCGGCTGCTGTGCAGTCACAGAGAAGGTGAGTAGCACTTTTTTCCCCTCTGTCTTTCTCCTCCTGGTGTTTATTTCTGACTTCTTGCTTAACTCTGGCTGCACACGCGTGGAACTCAATGCGGGCACGAATTCTCCGAGTCGCGCAACTTTACTGTCGGCGCAAGCAAAAGAGTCGCAACTTTTCAACTTAGCGCAAAGCGGAATCTTTCTCTTTTTCCCCCCCTCTCCCCTCCATGCTGCTTATCCACATCCTTTTGCGTCGATTTCCCCCCACCCCCCGCTGCAGATGAGATAGTGCAGAGAAGCTATTAAAGCTCGGCTGCGTTCTGCAACGGGACTCGGGAGAACCCTCTCGTTTCGCTCCCGTCCCGCTCACGTGCACGCGAGCCTATTTGTTGCTCGAACACGTAATGAAAAGATCGATAGACGTCCGTTTGTCTCAGCGATAGTGTCACCGAATTAAAAGGCTGATCAGTCGGTGCTCATCCTTTACTGCCCGTTCAGCCGCGGATGGTGGACCGGGCAACGTGGAGAGCAGAATTAAAACGTGGACGTAAATAAAAAATAAAAAAAAACCTCCAACGGTGCGGTGATATTTACAATTTATCAGAGCGGCATTGTTGGTGTGAAAATAGCCCAGGTTAACTTTATCCCAGAACTCAACCTATTAACGTTTAACTTGATCCCTCCACACTTGATCCAAAATGTAGTTTGAATGTGGAAATTTGTATTTTCGTGTCTGTTTCCAAGTTTTAAC